CGGAAAAAGTATTTATCCGTCGCTCAACTCCGATCGCCGCGGAGAGAGTTCGTGCTAGCGCGGTTCGAACCCGGATTTCCGCTGTCAAGTCCGGAGCGGCAAACTGTCAGTGGTCCTGGCCGGCCTGAACGACCACTTAATGCTACTGTCGCCCTTTCTTTTATGTCTATATCAGGTATATTAGGCGGGTATTGCACACGATTCCAGCCGTCGTCATTTGTCTACATTGATGGGTTCGTACGTTCGGTGTTTCAAAAGTAAACTCGCCTCCTCCCCCGATCCAGGGACTACTACGGCGTGCTTCGACATAATGCTATGCAGAGAAGTCACGACATAGTCGTTTGCGTCGTAAGGTCAAGCCACACAAGAGTGAACAAAAGCCGTTTTTGAGTCAGCAACGATAAGTAGGAAATGACGCAGTCACAAAACCACTATCGAATGTAACGGGCAAGCCGCTTGAGCGGCGGCTGTGCCGCCGAGTTTCTAGAACCTTCCCTTGATCGAAGCTATAGAAGTGCTATTATGCTCTCGTAAAGTCATCATTCCCAAGTCGCGAGTCGACTTCAAGCCAGCCTCTCTGCCAAGACGTCGGGGTAGCCCTTAGTAACAGAACGTGAAGGACCATAATACTGACGCGGCGAACATTACACAATCGACGCCTCAGCTGCGGCACACCAGCAGTTCATTAACAAGGCGTGGCGGCCTAATCCACAAAATTAGACATAGTTGTATAACCTTATTAAGGAGCACTCGTATCCATGAAACGACGCCCTGTTTGACCCGTCAGAATACACTAGACAGGCTACAGGTCTAGAATTCGATAAAGGTTGGCAAAATAATAGGGAAGCACCATCACGGTTGAATACAACATCAGATAATATAGCTCGCTAGGTTTACGAAGCTTATAGCTCGAAAAATCGACCTTCTTTTCTCTCTCTTTAATAAAATATTCATGTCACTGCCACTGGCCTGGAAAGATGTATTCTTCGACGTAGTTATGGCATTGTCTATGCCTAGCCCCGTAAAAAGGAGCTTGACAAAGACGGAGAAGCCGATAAAGGAACGAAGCAGAGAAAGTTTTGCCTGGGTTGACCGCATGTTGAACTTCATCGCAGTACGGATTTGACAGCTTTCTAACGAATATGCTTCCTAACTAGCGGGAAAGTTGCAAATATTTAGACAATCCGCGGAGGTAGGCCCTCGTTAGATTCTCCGTGTCAGAATCCGTGGTCAGACTTGTCCCATCTATCCTGTGCCGATCTTGTGTCAAGCTCGGGAACCAACTACGTTAGTTGGTCACTAAGGTCCAGCAGCCATTCGTCGCCCTGCTTCCCACAGGTCAATACGCACACTAGCGCCAAAAGCCCCTAAGATATAATAGCGGCGTTCAAGGGCGTAATTTACGGGGAACGCTTACGTCGCTAGCAAGTCGCCCTGCTATCATAAAGTCGCTGTCCTCTTTATGTCAGGTGTAATGGCTTGCGTCTTGGGCGGCTTATCCCGCTCTGCGGGCCTAACCAGGGGCCGAGTTAGGTATTCATCCTTACTTCGTGTTAGTTACTGCAGAATTATGCCGTTAGCCCCACCCGGGCGAGGCAAAACTTTTGAAGGTCTATTATTCATCCAGCTACTATAGTTAGGCAGGTACCTGGTTTCCAGAACAAATTCCATGCATTCTGCCATTTTACCAGTCGCACGAGGTGTGGGTTATAAGACGAGATAGTCTATAGGACTTGGCATATGTGAGTTACAAGATACAGCAGGGCCGGAGCGGACCAGGCGACTGCCTTGTACACTTTGTGACATGACTAAGTATTATGTATCATAATAGCACCGTAATATTCTCATGAGCTGATTTCATGCATATTCAGCACTGCCTTCTTCTTGTGTAATCATGTAATTCTTGGCATGCCATCTATTGCTCTGAATTCGATAAGAGATATAAATACTGAGTTTTTCTCCAACCTTAAAGATTAAGATTCTATTCCGAGCACAAACTCATTAGCTGTTCTATTAGCTAGCAACCCATTCTGCTAATCTATTGTTACTTCTTCTGAAACTACCTCACCATGAAGCACTCTATGATCCTTATTGCTGCCTTTGCTGCCGCCTCTCTCGCTGGACCAACTACGAACGCACGAAGACAAAATGTTCCTACAAGAGATGAGCTTTGCAAGCCATTCAATGGCAACGAAAACGCCTGCACTGATGCAATAAGGGAGTGTTTGCAGAAGGAAGGAAGAGATCCAGAGAGAACCCAAACATGTGTGCATGCTGCGGCTGAAGGAGGAGTGGACGAAGATAAGCAGCAGGAAGACCAGCAGCCACAGAAGCCAGGCTTGGGCGAACGATGCACCCTTAAACCCAACAATTGCGCTGATGGATTGGTGTGTCTTAATCCGACCACGTTTATCGCTGCGACCACAGGAAGATGTTTTCGGGG